TGCAGCGATAGTGGCAAGGGCCGACAGAAAAGAAGTCGCGATATCGCTTTCTTAGCGAGTTACCCTTCTGCATTGACATTCATGATGTGGCTGTAAGATTATTGGCAGTTTGATCATTTATAAACCAACAACGATGGTGGCAGAGAAACTAGAGGTAGTGCGCGAGAGGAGGTGACGCGCGCATGCTGCCAATCCGAATGTGACATCTCTAAAAAGTCCTCCGGAGGACTTTTTAGAGATGGCCACATTCAAACTGCCAGGCTGCGTGGGTCAAAGCAGGGTGTTGGAAAGGGAAAGGGAAGCACTTGCATTGATCGTCAATGGTGTAGCGCCTGCGGTCCACGTTGGTGTTGGATCGGTCACGGGATCAAGACCATGAGATGTGTAAAAACTTGCAACTCTCTTAGGCTATTCCCTTTTCTCTACAACCCTTTCCACGTCGACATAAGCGGCTCCTTAGGGCTGTTAGCTATGCCGCTCATTGCACCGCAGGTTCAAACTCAACATTAAAGAGGCTCACCTCTTACACCATGGCAATTGCCAATGGCTCAATGGGAACGTTCCACGCTGCCGCTGGCAAGGTTGCTGGATCAACACCGCTTGAAGTCTAAGATTTGCAAACAACATCCGTTGCTTACCTGTCATCAACATCTCTTCCAGTGCTGTGATCGAGTGATCCCTGGTGCACTGGCAAAACCCGGCTATGAGTCCTGTCATCCAGGGTTCAAGTCGAGAGTGGTGCAAGTTTTGCAGGCATGTGACGAGGCTGGCGGAAAGGTCATGTCCGTGTTTCCACTTCTTTGTACCTCGTCAATGAGAAAAAAACCACCACATGATGGCTTTAGGGAACCTTACCACCGCCCTAGATTCTTCTAAAAAAGTTGCTCAAAGAGATAGTTAAAGGAATCTTCCACGGACCATGGACCAGTGGGCGGGACCGGAAGTTTTTGTGACGAAATGCATGGTAGGTACGGATCCACGTGTCGAACGCACGAACGTGAACAGGATTCACTTCAAACCTTCCCATGAACGTGGATCCGTACCTACCATGCATTTCGTCGCAAAACCACTTCCGGTCCCGCCCACTGGTCCATGGTCCGTGGAAGATTCCTTTAACCTAAACCTAAAGCAGTCCACTTCTACTAGTGCATTCTAAGAATCCGGATGTGGAATGTTATCAAACTACAAGTCACTTTCGAGAGAATAGAGCAAAGTTTGTCTTACTTGAATGTACTATGCAAGAGTTAGGACGACACTAATTCCGAATGCAAACACTCGGTGTTGCCCGTTATAGGTTCAGCAATCGAGTTGCTAGCCGGAGATGACATTAGCGACCGTTGGTCTACCACGGACTGAATTAGAAGTCGGCCTTCAGAGGCGATGGGCATAGGAAGCGTTTCATTTTTCATTTTTATTCATTTTTCCATTATCAGCGGAAGTGAGGTTACCTCCTGACATGACAACTCCGACTTTTGTTCAAAAACTGATCGGAAACACAGCGAATCATGATAAAAGTGAACCGACCCTCCCTCGTGACAGCATTGCGCTTGCATAATTCCAGCAATATATAATACTTTCAACAAAAAGAGGCATTTTTATCGAAAACAAATTTTCCTCCTCACGAACACCCGACCCATGCTTTCACGAGCCCCGATTCAGATTGATGTCAAAAAACACATCTGTGACTTCCCAGTTCGGCAACATCTGTGAGAACTGGTTTCACTACGAATGGCCACTTCGGCGTGAGTAAATGAAAATTGAGAAAAATGTGTGAAAAATCGTGAGAAAGTGCGGACGAGATCTCCAAAACCACAGCACGCTCTTCACGACGTGCTGCTTGTCCGATACAGCCTCATCTATGACACTACTTCCACTCCTCCCACTAATAAAACCTGACACCCGAAAAAGCATCTCCCCTTACAGAAAGTTTACCGATATTTTCGAAATCGTTTCAAGAAGGCAAGAATTTGACTTGTCTTCGAGCAACGGACGTTTGAGGCCGAGAAGATGTGGTTCAACTCCTGCTTTGACAATCTTCGTCGCCTACGCACCAACATCAGCTACGACGAGGAGGAACACGAAGCATTCTATATGGAATTGGAGAAGTTCTACAGGGAAGATCATACCTTCTTCAAGGTCATCGTCGGCGACTTCAACGCTAAGATTGGCCCAAGAAGAACGGCTGAAGAACTTCACATCGGTACTCACGGAATGGAATGGAATGAGCAGGGTGAGAGACTGTCGGAGTTTATCATGTCGACCAACACCATCCATGGTAACTCACAGTTCCAAAAGCCCTCTCACCTTGGACGAGTCACCTGATGGACAGTTCCATAACGAGATAGACCACATCATCTTCAATCGAAGGTTTTGCCTGACCGACGTCGCTGTTGTTCCGAAGTTCTACACGGGATCGGACCATCGTCTCCTCCGCGCAAGATTCCACTTTTCGATGCGTGTTGAGAGAGCAGCAAAGTTCAGGAAGCGAAGCCCCAGGACAGTCATCAACTGGGACCACTTCGCTTCTCTCGTCAGCTTATGGGAGGATTCCGTCATCGAAACATCGACGAGGAGTACTATCGGCTCGTTGAACATCTTCACGATTGTGGCAGGAAGGCAGAGAGTTTGAAAGTCACCAAGGGACGTCTGTCTCCGGAAACTCTCGAAGCTGATACGCCAGCGTGGAGCCGCACGAGCTGCAGGCAATCACCGACTCACGTCCGAGCTTGCGAAGCTATGCAGAGAGGCGATAAAGGAAGATCTCAAGGAGCGAAGAGCAGCAGTATTAGCTGAAGCAGCAGAGGCTGGGAGGAGCATCCGCAATGCCCGCCGAAGCTTTGCCAGCTACAAGACCAAGATAACCTGCCTTTGACTCATTGAAGTATCGCGAGTACAATGTACGCTTTGTCTCACGTTCATCGACTTGAAGAAGGCCTTCGACTCTGTGGAGACAGAAGCGGTCATCGAAGCCTTGGGCAACCAGGGCGTCCCTACTCAGTACATCAAGATTCTTCGTGAGCTCTACAGCAACTTTACGACCAGAATCTCACCATTCTACAAGGAGGTCATCATCGACGTCAAGAGAGGGGTTCGACAGGGCGACACCATCTCGCCCAAACTCTTCAGCGCCGCTCTCGAGAACGTCATGCGTCAACTGGAATGGGAAGACATGGGAGTGAAGGTCGACGGCCGGCAACTACACCACCTTCGTTTTGCTGACGACATCGTTCTTAACGCCGAACATCGAGCAAGCGGAGCGAATGCTGGCTGATTTCGACTGCGCCTGGTAAGGTGGTCTGCAGCTGAACCTAACGAAGACGATGTTTATGAGAAACGGATTGGTTCCTGATGCCCCATTCACGCTCAACGGAACGAACATCACCGAATGCTCCAGCTACGTGTACCTAGGTCGGGAAATCAATATGATGAACGATCTAGCTCCAGAGCTGAGCAGGAGGAAACGAGCGGCTTGGGGAGCGTACAAGAACATCGAGGGAGTAGTGAAGAAGACGAAGAACATCCGGCTCCGTGCCCACCTCTTCGATTCCGCTGTCCTTTCCTAACCTACGCCTCAGAGACTTGGACTCTGCGCAGGCAGGACGAGCATGCGGTCACCGTTATCCAGCGCTCTTTCAGTAACCCTATCCGGGGTTCCGAACTACGCCAACGATCGAAGATCAGGGACGCTGCCGTTTTCGCCAAGGAATCGAAGATAAGGTGGGCCGGACACGTCATGCGATTTTGCGATGACCGTTGGACCAGAGCGGTTACCGACTGGATCCCTCGGGACGTCAAACGAACACCTGGACGACCGCCGGCCCGATGGTCAGACTTCTTCACGAAAGCTCTGAACGAAAGGAATGAAGGACTTCGTGTCCCTCGAGCGAGGAGGGTCCACTGGACAACTCTTGCACGCGACAGGGACGAATGGAGACGTTGCTGGCGCCCGCTCGAGCAATCGATGATCAACGGGACGACAGGTGATACAGGTGATACAGATGTGAGCTTTCGTTGAATTGGAAATGTTTGTCAATTATATTAGGTCAGTTCATAATTTTCGAGATACATATTGTTGTAACAATCTTTTGATAAGTATTGAAGCTTTCCAAGATGTCCTGCAACCTTAGCACACAAGCTCGCCTATCCGACAGGCTAGCCACCTCGTTTGCTTGTTACTTTCTTTAGCTAGAATTCCAATTTCTTTGAAACCTACTTCTGAGCCTCTTTCTTCATGACTTCAGATTAGGATCTTCCACTCGCCAAGATATATGGAGGCATTGCGCTGGAAATCGGCACCAGTCGGTGATGAAGATAATCTTCGACAACTTGATGGCAACGCCTTCAAATTGAAAGCAAAGTAAGACAAAACCTATTTTTTCTGAGGTCGTTCGAGTCCACCTTGCTAAGAAAATTCATAAAAAATTGGAGACTCTCGGGCGGTCAGTTCTTTTAGCTCCGCCTTGTAGCACTAATCCTGCCAACGAACATCCGCTCTCCTCTCTAATCACCTTCTGGAGAAGAAATCTCACTTGAATCACCATAAATGTCAAAATCGACATCCAATTTTCTTCGATCAGAACTCTATGAAATTCTACAAGAGAGACACTGAACACCTACCCTCGCATTGGACAATATGTTAATGGTAATGGTGATGTGTATACTATGTTGATTGACTACTTCAAAGAAATAAAATGACTAATTGAATCAAAAACATCTAAAGTGTCTTAAAAATAATGGAGCCACCTAGCATTTTATGATTATTAGTTGTTGAGTGTGAATAGGAATCACTTGTCTTATTAACATCAATTGCACTATTTTCTGTACACTTTATTCCCATTTCTTTCATGATACTAGCACTATGTATAAAATTTTATGCACTTAATTCCATAATTTTCATAAGCTTCATGCAACGATCAGAAAATCTTTTTTTATGTTGCAATCGTGCAACTAGAAATGGTTTTTTAGTAATGAGTATTCAGCCACAATATGAACAGAAGTGATTATTTCCCTTTCGGCTTTGCGAAGCCAATTTGCTTATTACCAATGTCATGTATATTGCAGAACTGGCGTAAGAACGGATCGCCGAGAATCCATTGCGGCCCAAAGCCGCCGTAGCTCATCGGGTACATTGCTATTACGCAGAATTGATCCGCCAGGTGGACAACCAGGTTCTCTGCTTCTAGAGTATAGACCTTATCGCCGATAGTCAAGTTGAATGTGACGTTTGCCCCACAACGGATTTCATAGATTTCGTAAAAACGGTTGAACTGGAACGAGACAAATCTTTAGTAACTCGAGCAATAGACACCACCAACCGCAACAAATATATTTCAACGCTTACTCTGGCGCCGAAGGAATCCGCTGCCATTGCGGCGATTGCAGCTGGAATGCCCAGAAAGGAGGTGCCCGTGTCGGAGATTACTTCCCATCCCTTTTTGACAGCTAGATATCCAGCGCTGAACGCATTCATCTGAAAAGGAAGTAATGAGCAGCGAAGAGGAGATTCTAAACAAAGCAATTTGACAACTCTAACGTGATAGTTACATGGAATTGCCAGTATGCAGCCAGCGTGAGTTTCTCGTACGCAATCACTTCACCGCAGTTCACATCGTCCAAACCTCCGTAAGTGAAAACGCCTCCGAATTCGCCCTGTGCCCGAACTAGATGAGATCATTATTATTTCATTTATTCTGAGATAATCTCATTCTCTAACTTACATCCCCTATGCTTCAGAAAGACGGTGAAGACCGGATCAACTAGTCCTAGATCGATGGCTTGTTGGAAGGGAGGATTCACCTCTTTCACAGCGAGCCTTGAGAATCCTAATCCAAGTATCCCATCGATTGGACTCTAAAATTTTTAGGAGAGGAATGTTAAATAGGACACCACTTTTCGAAAGGCGTGGTAGGCTGCGGGTTAATCTCTTGTTTGTAGTCTGTGTTACTTAGAAAGGCCAAACAAGTTAGCGAAAGCCTCTAGCATCACTAGCTACATGTAAAGCGCACGATAGCACTAATAGGTGCAACAAGGAGCAAAATGGCTTATTGCTACCAGACGAATTTAGATGGGAAAACTAGATACTCTTACTGAAGAGGTACTTGCAGTCTCATGGCTCACACCTTTCAGAATAGGTGGCCCACATAGCATCTACTTCAACAATTTCTTCAATTTTCAAATGATGAAATTCATTCCAGACAGTTTATTCACTTTCCATTGATATTTTTACAGTTTTTTCTGCAAAGAATAGCAACCAATTCAGTCCAAGACAAGGTGTTGCGAGTCAGTGGGTCCAATAGAAAGCTTGAGTGTCGCTTATGAGGAAAGCCCGGATTACGGAATGAATTAACTACCTTGTCCCAGCTAGCTAGCTTTGGCAACCAGGAAACCGACCTTAGTACACTTGAGTATTACGTAGAAAGCGTGTGGGTTTAACCCTTCATTGCTACAGAACGATGACACAAGTCTAAGTAAGTTTTTATGATATTGAACTGCTCTCATGGTATTATGAGTGATGAATAATACAAGTAATTTTAGTAATGCACAAAACTAACTCACGTCGGGTCGCTTTCCTCGACCCGCCGATCGACCACAGTTGTTGAACTAGGAATAACATCAAGAATAGAAGTTCTAAGGGCTAACGCCCTGCGAGCCTGCAGAACCGACGACGAAGGGGCAGAACCTGACGACAGACGGGGAACACCGGGACTGGCCGTGATGGTGCCGTTGCGAACGGCCCGTGCGTTTCCGCACGATCACGGATAGATCATGCTGGGTCATGTCTGCAGGACTTCGCAGGCGCCGGCGCGCCCAGGGTTCCGTTGGAGCGGTCTTCGTGGTACGGGACACAAGGCTTCACTGTCAAGTAGAGGCATAAGATAAGGCGCTCAACAATTATAACAACTCTTTAAATTTTATTTTTGGCTGGAGCCAAGCCCATAAGCGTAATTTTATGTCATGGTTACAAAAATAACACTCCTTGCGCTGCCACCACTACGACTGTTTGCACTGATTTCAATGTAAATTTCTGTATAGGGATTACTTGATATCCTGATTACAAATATGACGCTCGATTTCAGCACTAGCGTTAATTCTGCTCTCTTGAGCTCTCTTATCAGTTAAAAGGCTCAACAAGGGAAGGGGTAGGGGGCAAAGGCAAAGGTAGACTCCGTGGTGGGTAAACTAGGCACGACGTGGCAAAAGATAAAGCGTCTGGAACCAGGGGGTGGGTGGTTTACTAACTTCGAAGCCTTCTTTTTAAAGGCTTGGCCTTGCTCAAGGAAAACAGGCGCAAAACGGGTGCACCAGAAATTTTGTATCCGTAATTGGCGCACCGAAACCGACCCCTGCGTAGGGATTTGCAGGTTTGGTAAAAACACCCATGCTGCCAACAGGCGCCAGGTGGCACGTCATTTTCGTCCCCTGAACATCAAATTACCCTCATAGACAACCCCCTCTTCCAGCCTTGACTCTGGAAAACAACGTCAAAAGGCGAGGCGATGGTTTGCGACCGGTAAAAACCGTCGTAAACCGTCGCCTCGCCATAACTCTTCAAAGAAATGGTTCACGCGATTTGAAAGTTATACCAGCTGATAGCTCTGCTCGAGATTTACAAGATGCTATATTTCAATTTTCGAAAGAGCTTCATCTAGGATTGCAGTAGTGGTAGGCCCATTATGTGACATTCCCCACTTTTAGAGGAGATGTTTTGTGGAAACCTGAGAAGATAGCGAGGAATCTCTCCACCGGCGTAGACTACGGTTACTTCTCTGTAGGAATTATGTAAAATATTTGGTCGCAGGTGAGCGTTCCTTCCGTGGTGTGGACCCCAAACATCACTGCTCGTCATGCCCTTGTGATATGATCAGTTTTTTTGCTTGTCCAGAAGGACCTTGGAACCTGAAATGTGCACCATTCGATTTCCCATGAAAAATACTATCGAATGGTGTACAACACAGGTTGCACACGAAACTTTGTTTTTCACCTTTTTCTCCCCATTGGCGATCGTCCTCCCAGCCCTTGGCGCCACGTGCGATTTAGCGAGAAATTCTCTCCACCGACGTGGACTCCGGTCACTTGTCTGTAGGAAAGAGGTAGAATATTTGGTCACGGGTAAGCGTTCCTTCCGTGGTGTGGACCCCAAACATCACTGCTCGTCATGTCCTTGTGATATGATCAGTTTTTTTGCTTGTCCAGAAGGACCTTGGAACCTGAAATGTGCACCATTCGATTTCCCATGAAAAATACTATCGAATGGTGTACAACACAGGTTGCACACGAAACTTTGTTTTTTCACCTTTTTCTCCCCATTGGCGATCGTCTTTCCAGCCCTTGGCGGCCACGTGCGATTCACGTGCACCTCGCCGACCCGTTACCCTTCGCATCTCTCTCAATTGACTATTTAATTAATTACTACTTAAGCTCAATTATCATTCGAAAAAGGTAAACAGCTGATATTCAAGTCATCAAATTTTTTCCCTCGACAACTCCAGAGCTAATCTACTGAACTCGCAGTGATAGAAGGCTGGCTAGACTGGACGGCGTGCGGTCGATTACTCGATCCCCTGGCCGTGCGTGTGGAAAACGCCGCTTCTTGCCACTCCGTCAGCTGCATATAACCAATAATGATAAAGGATCCTACTTACTATAAAGCGTTTCGTCTGTCGTTCTGTCTGCCGTCTGTCGTCTGCCGTTCTGTATGTCTGTCACGAAATTCCCTAGCTCCTGGGATCCGCCTGGAGAGACCGGGTCAAGTGTGGGATGGGTGGGCAAGGTCTCGCGAAGTACAAAACACACATCAGCTAAGCGGAGCCCCGCCCACAGTGGGCGTGGCGTGCATCGAAATGAGTGGTACTGACGACCAGGATTTCGAAACTATACCAAAAAGCCTCGAAACTGGGAAAAAGTGGGTAAAGGTGTGCATTGGTAAGTCAGATCGAATTAGGGAGACCCACCCCGGTGGGCGGGGCGTTCTCAAAAAAGCAGTGCTTAATGAAAAATTCATAACTCGGTTGGGAGAAAGCCTACAGAGCAGAAAACAAATTGGTGCAGGGAGCAATGTCTAAGGTGTTTCCCAGCATACATGACGTGGGCGGAGGCCCGCCCACAATGGGAGCGCGCTCTGAAGTGTACAGCATTTTCTACAAGTCCTCATAATTCGGGCGGGGAAGTCTTAGGGAGCCGGAAAAAGGTGGATAGAGGTGGGTGGAGGAGTGGAGGCCAACTGTCGGCGGTGGGCGGGGCATGATCAAAGTGGGCGGAGTTTGCGAAAAAAATTACGAAGGTGAAGTCAATTGGCACGGGGGGCGGGGCCCGCACCAATGTGTGCGGTGTTCGTCAAAAATTTTATAGAGGTATTCTCCCATCGCTCCACCCATTTTGGGCGGGCCTCCACTCACGTCATGTATGCTGGGATTACCTTAGACATTGCTTCCCTGCACCAATTTTTTTCTGCTCTGTAGGCCTTCTCCCAACCAAGTTATCAATTTTTTTGTTAAGCACTGCTTTTTTTGAGAACGCCCCGCCCACCCGGGTAGTTCTCCTTAAGTTCGATCTAACTTACCAATGCACACCTTTACCTACGTTTTTCCCCCAGTTTCGAGGCTTTTTTGGTATAGTTTCCGAAATCCTGGAGCGTCACTCATTTCGATGCACGCCACGCCCACTGTGGGCGGGGCTCCGCTTAGCTGATGTGTGTTTTGTACTTCGCGAGACCTTGCCCACCCATCCCACACTTGACCCGGTCCTCTCCAGGCGGATCCCCAGGAGCTAGGGAATTTCGTGACAGACATACAGAACGACAGACGACAGACGACAGACAGAACGACAGACGAAACGCTTTATAGTAAGTAGGATCCTTTATCATTATTGGTTATATGCAGCTGACGGAGTGGCAAGAAGCGGCGTTTTCCACACGCACGGCCAGGGGATCGAGTAATCGACCGCACGCCGTCCAGTCTAGCCAGCCTTCTATCACTGCGAGTTCAGTAGATTAGCTCTGGAGTTGTCGAGGGAAAAAAATTTGATGACTTGAATATCAGCTGTTTACCTTTTTCGAATGATAATTGAGCTTAAGTAGTAATTAATTAAATAGTCAATTGAGAGAGATGCGAAGGGTAACGGGTCGGCGAGGTGCACGTGAATCGCACGTGGCCGCCAAGGGCTGGAAAGACGATCGCCAATGGGGAGAAAAAGAT